TGGCGGGCTTGCCCAAGAGGGAAGCCACGAGGTTGCGCCGAATAGGGCAGGTGAGAGCAAGAGAATTGTCATCGGCAGGCTGGGTGTGTCGTGAGAGAGTTGGATTCGACTGGGTCTCCTTTCACCCCAGTAGAATCTTAGAACAAACAGGGTGGTGCCAGGTGCTGTTTGTGAACAGTCCCACTGAGCTGAATTCTCAGACCGATCCTGAAGTGGGGATGTCATGGTGCCTTAAAGCATTCAGCACATGGTGAAGTTCGCTAATGGTGAACTGCTTGGTTGTTGAACGGGAAAGACAGTGCTGTACTTTCTGAGGCGACTGTGTGTGAGAGAGGAAAAAAATGCCCCAACTAGATGTGTGTAAGAAATAGTTGGGACTTCGGGATGTTCTTCATGATACAATTCAGAAGAGCTGAGCGTGGGCACACCTCGGTGATCAGGCAGCTTGATTCCAGTTGACTTGAATGTTACATATACAGTCCTGCCTTTGTTCTTCCGCCCTGCTGAAGTTGGGGTTTCTTTCCTGAGTTCCAGAAAAGGGGGATGGGAAGCACTTCCTGAAGGTGCCCTTGGCCTGCCCCCAGCCCTGCCCAGCTCTTGCAAAACCCGCAGTCTCTTTGTGATCTGCTGTGTCATTTCTTTTTTTTCTCTTTTCTTTTCCCCCTGCTGTTAAGGACTGCTTTCTGGAATACAGGGCAATTCAGAAACCTATTTCCAGCATATTTTTCCTAATCCTTTATTTCCTCTGTGAATTACTCAAAATTTAGTGTACTGAAAGCAGTTACAGGTAAGTATCAGCGGTTTTGCTTAAGGACTGTCTAGATCTTCCCTGATCAACTAAGAGTTATCCGTGGCCAGTAGTGGTTATTTATTTATTTTTTAGTGTCAGTTATTAGAGCCATTTCATTACACAGTTTCTCAAAAAAATTTCACTAAACTTTTGATCTAGAACACATGATCGGGAAGTAATCATTTAAGATGTCTAAATATTTGTTTCTGAGCTGGGCATGGTGGTGCACACCTGTAATCCCAGCACTTGGGAGGCTGAGGCAGGAGCATTGCTGTAAGTTCGAGACCAGCCTGGGCTACATAGTGAGTTCCAGGTCAGTCTCAACTACATAGTGAGACCTTGTCTCAAAAAACAAAAACAAAAAAAAATTTTTTTTTATGTTTCTGGGCCAGGGATTTAGCTCAGTGGTGACGCCTCCTACCTCACAAGTGCAAGGATCTGAGTTTAATTCCTAGTACCAAAAAAATAAAATAAATGTTTGTTTCTAACTACATTTTACTCTAAGCAGTGATGCAAGAGATACATACCATTGCTTTTGGGGAAAAGTTCCCAGAAAGATATGTTTAGCAGCAAACTTTTCTGTTTCCCCACTAGTAGTGGTCCTCTGGCAACCACTCCAGATAAAAAAAGCATTGCCTGTCTGTCTTTTCTACAGGATGAATTTTTAGATGTGATCTACTGGTTTCGACAGATCATCGCTGTGGTTCTGGGTGTCATTTGGGGAGTTTTGCCATTGCGAGGTTTCTTGGGAATAGCAGGGTAAGTCTCAATATGTAGTCCAAGCTGTTCTTGAATTCACTGTTTAGCCCAGGCTGACTTCAAACTCACAGTGTTCCTTCTGCCTCAGCCTCCTAAGTGCTGGGACTACAGGTATGAGCCACCTAGTTCTTCATCTCTTTTTTAAAGAGGTTTATGTTTTCTGTTTATGGAAAAAGCCATTGCCACTTTGAAGTTAAACACCTGTGTATAATGGCAGAAGTGGCTCCATGACAGCACACTTGGGTTTGTTGCAGGACTGCTAAGTTCATCAGACCCAGGAACAGCTCTGGTCAGGGAGGCTACCTTGCTGAAGGCCTAGGCCAGTCCATTCATTCATGTCTCTAAAGTGATTTCTTGAAAGAAGCTACCGTAGTACTTGTTGGAGTATGTACTCAAATTCTGTTATGATCTGTACCTATAGAAATTTGGGAAATAGAAGAACTTCTGTGCTGAATGACCATCTCCCTTGTGCCTGCCACTCTGCTGGATCTGCTGAATCTTGGTTTTGGCAAAAGATACATCAGCCTGGGCATAATGGCACATGCCTGTAATCCCAAAACTAGGGAGGTTGAGGCAAGAGGATCACTGCAGGTTCAAGGATAGCTGACACTATCAGCTACCTGCATTTTAAGAGCAGCCCCAGAGCAGGTGGTGGGGTCTGTATTCCCCTGTCCAGTGGTAGTACTTTTGACACCAGTCCCTGGTTATGGCTGAGTCTGTTAACGCACTACTGAAAGTGAGGCTTTATGTCCATCAGATTGAATTTAAAAAAGGGCATGCCATTTTGGAAATGGAGGACTTTGCCTTTTCAATTTTCATGCTGGGAATACAAATGGTCACCCTCTCTCCAGTGGAAAACCACATCAGTTTTTGTTGTTTTTTTTGTTGTTGGATCAACAACAGGGATCAAACTTGGGTCCTTGTGCTTGTGAAGAAGTCAGCGGAACCACTGAGCTAGATCCCCGGACCCCACATTTTTTTTTTTTTTTGTACCAGGAATCGAACTTGGTTCCTTGAGCTTGTGAGGCAAGAGGTGGAACCACTGAGCTAAATTCCCGGTCCACACATCATTTTTTTTTAAAGGGTGATCGTATTTCTAACTATTCCATTTCCTCTAGGAATTAAAGATGAAATACATTTCAGACATTTGAGTTGCCTGTTTTCTCAGAAGATAACCCAAAAGGAACGTACATTAATCTCCACCTTATCCACAGGGGACATATGAGGTGTGATCAAAATATAGGAGGGAATGTTTAGATTTTAAAATTGTATTACATTAAAAGACACAAGGAAAGCCAGGTATGGTGGCGCATGCCTGTAATCCCAGCACTTGGGAGGCTGAGGCAGGAGGATCCCTGTGAGTTCGAGACCAGCCTGGGCTACATAGTTCCAGGTCAGTCTCAACTACATAGTGAGACCCTGTCTCAAAAACACAAAAACAAAAAAAAAAAAAAGACAAAGGCTGAAGATTTAGCTCAGTGGTTCCACTGCCTGCCTTGCAAGCAAAAGGACCTGAGTTTGATACCCAGTACTAAAAAAAAAAAAAAAAGACATTGCCATCAACTCCCCCTCAGAATTCTCCTTGCTTCAAACACTTATCCCATCATTCTTGCCACTTTTTGAAACAGTTCTACAAGTTTTCTTTCGTGAGTGACTTTACAGGGTGTGATGAGCACTGCTGCTATGAGGCAGGCTTGTACAACATTGCGGTGCATCCTCATCCACCTTATTCACCAGATCTGGCACTGTGAGACGTAAAAGTTGTTAAAGGTAAACATTGTGAATTGATTCAGAACATCAAGGCAACCATGAATGACAGTGCAGCTGACTTCCAGAACTCTTCCCAAAGTGTCAGGAAGGATGGGATGAGTATGTTTGAGGTAAGGAGGAGTATAGTGGGAGTTAATGGTATTGTATCTTTTTTTTTTTTTTTTTTGGTACCATGGTTCAAACTCGGGACTTTGTGCAGTACTGGAACTACTAAGCTAAATCCCCAGCCCATGTATCTTTTACTGTAATAAATTTTAAAGATTTTTATATTCACTGTATTTTGTATCATACCTCATTGTCCAAGACTCCTAATAGATGTCAGAAATCACAGAAAGTACCAAACCCTATATTACTGTGTTTTTTCTGTACTTAAATATTTATGACAAAATTACATGGGCTGGGCCGGGCGTGGTGGCGCATGCCTGTAATCCCAGTACTCAGGAGGCTGAGGCAGGAGGATCGCTGTGAATTCGAGACCATCCTGGGCTACATAGTGAGTTCCAGGTCAGTCTCAACTACATAGTGAGACCCTGTCTCAAAAAAAAAACAAAACCAAATAAAAATAAATTACATGGGCTGGGGATTTAGCTCAGTGGTCCCGTCGCTTGCCTTGAAAGCAAAAAGTCCCGAGTTTGATTCCCAGTACCAAAAAAAAAAACCAACAACAAAAAACCCTTTAAATTTCAAATTGGGCATAGTGAGAGATTAACAATAATTCCTAATAAAATAGAACTAAAGAGGGATATAACCATTATGTAAATGTGGTCTCAAGATATCTTATTGTCTTTTTTTTTTTTGAAGCAAAATCAACCTTATTGTCTTTTATTTCCTTTCTGCCAGTGAAAATGCAAGATATTTACTTACTTTTTGTTTGTATGTTTGTTTGTTTGTTCTGAGGCATGGTTTTACTGTGTTGTTTGGGCTGGCCTTGAAGTTACTGTGTAGCCCACACTGGCCTTTGAAGTCACACTGCTCCTGCTTCAGCCTCCCTAGTACTGAGATTACAGATGTGCCACTACACCTGGCCGAGATGTTACTTAAAGGATGCACTTCACTTCAGAGCTTCTCTGCGGCATATCCAAACTGCCAGCATCATTATTCTTGCACTTCGGGGCAAAATTAGGGTTACTTGAATGTGAGTGCTGTGATACTGCCTGGTCATTTTAGTAATGGAGATAGTCACTAAGTGACTGACACAAGTAGCATTTACAGCATGGGTCTACTAGACAAAGGGATGACATGTCCTAGGCAGGTTGAAGCAGGAAATCACAAGATTTCATTACACTCCTTCAAACAGCATGCCATTTAAACCTTGTATATTGTTATATCTTGAATTTCCCTTTTAATGTTTTCAGACCATAGTTGACCAAGGGTAACTAAAACTACAGAAAGCAAAACTATGCTTATAATCCTAGCAGTCTGGGAGTCTGAAGCAGAAGGATCACCCTTGACTTGGGAAACAATGGTTTAGTGAGACCCTGTCTCAGAGTAACAAAAAGAGCTGAGGATGTGGTTCTGGGTTTAATGTACTGCAAAAAAAAGTGTCAGGGGTGAGGAGGATCACCACAGGGACAATCCCTTGTACCGTATAATTCCTTCTCAATTAAAAAGGATTTTTGATTGATGATAGTAAGCAAGGCAGTGAGGAAACCAGTAAGAGTTTATGCTCTGTCTGAACTTGACAGAGTAGATACTTTAAAAGGCTGGTTGTGGGCTGTGGATTTAGGCTGAGTTGAATCCCCGATACCAAAAAAGACTTGAGTATGATATGACGTGAGGCCTGGAATTCATAAAGGTCTGCTCGGGTAGGAGGTGGCGTACAGGAACTTTATTTATTTGTTTGTTTGTTTTTTGGTTTTTTGAGACAGGGTCTCACTATATAGTTGAGACTGACCTGGAACTCACTATGTAGCCCAGGCTGGTCACATCTTTAGAATCTTGATCACCCCATTTCAACTGTCTGTGAAAAATTAGAAGATGCCAGAGAAGGGGAGGCCAACCTAAAGGCAAGAGGTTGTTTCACATTTTCCAGAACCACCAGTCTTAGGAAAGCATAATACTAGTTCAGAACCCCTACACTCATCTGATCTTGCAAGATTTTTAAGGTATTTTCTCTGAAGTCACCCAATCTGGGAATAATCTAGCAAGTTAGTTTGGTATCCTTTTTCCTGTATCGAATAGATCCTCAATCCCCTCCCTCCTTCCTTTCTTCCTTTTTTTTTTTTTTTTTTTTGGTGCTGCTAGGCATTGAACTCGGGGCTTCCTCACTGAGCTTGCTCTCTCACTCTCTCTCTCTCCCTCCCTCCCGTCCTCTTTCCCCTCTCCTCTCTCTCCTCTTTCTCCCTCCCTCTCCTTCTCCCCCTCTCTCTTGTTACTAAATTGCTCAAGCTGGACATGCCCAGGTTAGCAGCGCCACTCTTAAGCTACATAATTTTGAGCCTACGTCTTTGAGACTCATTTTCTTCCCCAGTAGGATGGGAGCAGTGAGGGACGGGGGGTTTAGCTCAGTGGTGTATCGCCTGCCTTACAAGCACAAGGACCCGAGTTTCATCCCTGGTACCAAAAAATAAGAGATAGGAGCAATGAAAATAGCTGACATGAGTTAAATGAGATGATACAGGTAAATTGCTGGATATAGTGTTTAGTACATTATAAGCAGTAAATCATTTGCTGCCATTACTACGTCCCTAATTTGATAGAGTGGTAAACTATAGCTGCTGAGAAAATGGGGAGTGAGATGTGTAGGAATGAACATGCCTTGGTTTGGCCCGCCATAGTGACGGTGCCACTTTCTTAGGACTGTCCATTTTCTGGAATTCAGTCCTCTATGTCTGCCGGAGCATTTTTCTCCAAACTCTCTTCTTTTGGTTGGTACCTTTTCCCCTGCTCTTGAAAAAGGCCAAGGGCATGGTGTTTTCTGCATATATCCCCTTTCCTCCATCCGTTTGACCCAACTGCCTGAGCTGAGGACTGCCCTGGTGTGCATTTCTGGTGACTGTCTCTTCTCTCCAGGTAACTGTCCTTTGTCCAGATCCTTACTTGCTCCCTGAATCACTCTGTTGTGGCCACTGTGTAGAGCCAGTATCTAGTTTACTTTCTCATTGGTGAGACAGAAATAGCCAACACCTAAAGTTTAAGGAGAAAAGGTTTATTTTGGCTCAGGATTTGAAGAGGTTTCAGTCCATAATTAACTGGCTCCAAGGCAGGATGGCATAGCAGAAGGGCATTGCAGAAGGGGCAGAAGAGGCAGAAGACAGCAGCAGCAAACAACAGCAGCAGCCCTCTTTCTGTCCCTTATATCCCATCCAGGTTACCCGTTCTTAGGGTAGGTAGCACTCTTAATCCCAGCATTGCACACCCTAGATCCAGCCACCTCTGAGAAACGCCACCAGTGACCACATGAGGCTTTTAGACACATCTAAATACAAGCCGTAGCAGCAGAGTAGGGCAAAGTCCATCCCCTCCTGCCTCTGGATCTCTTTCAGAGCTTAGCACGTGATTAGTAGGTACTCATTGAGTGCGTCTTAAATATTTTTTGTTTGGTGTTTTGGTACTGAGGATCAAACTCAGGAACTTGCACTTGTGAGGCAGGCAGCAGCACCACTGAGCTAAATCCCTGGCCCTTTTGTTTTTGAAACAGGGTCTTGCTATGTAGTTCAGGCTGGCCTTGAACTCATGGTGAGCCTCCTGCCTCAGCCTCCCAAATGTTAGGATTACTTAAACATTTTTTTTAAATACAGTTGGGTTGGATGTGGTGGCACAGCCTGTAATCCCACCCCTCAGGAGGCTGAAGCAGGAGAATCGACATAAGTTCCAGACCAACCTAAGCTACGTGGTGAGACCTTGTCTCAAAAATTAAAGTTCCTGGTCCAGAGATTTAGCTTAGTGGTCCTGCTGCCTGCCTCACAAGCACAAGGTCCCAAGTTCAATCCCCGGTACCAAAAAAAAAAGTTCCTTTGACTCTGGGAAACGGTATTACATTACTGTTGACAAGTAGTTTTCCAGCCCTGAGGCCCGTTATTTGTTAGAGATTCATTGTCTTTTAACTCCAACCTCTGGGGTGGATTGATTGTTTTGTTTTGAGACAGGGTCTCACCATGTAGTTGAGACTGAACTGGAACTCACTATGTAGCCCAGGCTGGTCTCGAACTCACAGCGATCCTCCTGCGCCACCACACCTGGCTAGGGGTGGATTGATTGATTGATTTTTTTTGTTTTGTTTTGTATTGGGGTTTGAACTCGGCCTTCACACTGAGCTACATCCCTGTCCCTTTTTCTCTTTTTAATTTTGAGACAGGATCTTGCTGAGTAATAAAATCATGCAGGCTGGTCTCAAACTTGTGATTCTACTGCCTCAGCCTCCCAGAGTGCTGGGATTTACGGGCATGCACTACCACACTTGGCTTCTCTCATTTATAAAATAAAAATGTGTCAAGTATGGTAGTGCACACCTATAATCCCAGTACTTGATCAGAAGTTCAAGCCTAGCCTGGGCAACTTAATGAGATCCTGTCTCAAAAAGGTAGCGGGAGGGCATGGAAGGTACAGTGGATGTCCCACTGAGGGCAAAGACTCTGGAATTCAGTCTGCAGTGTCCTGCTAGGCACGGTGGCACATCCCTGTGATCCCAGCTCTTGGGAGGCTGAGGCAGGTAGATCACCATGAGTTCAAGGCAAGCCTGAACTACACAGTGAAACCCTGTCTCTAAAACAAAACAACAAAAATCCACAGTAGCCCAGTACTGCTAGCTAGCTATCTAGCTAGCTAAATTGTGCCCATATTTAATGCTCAGCAGGAGCCCCTCCAGTCTTTCCTAAGACCAGCAAACTTGGATTTAAATGCCTGCCTTTGCTTCTTCAGCCTCACCTCCTACTTAGTGTACCATGTAACCCAGGAAGGCCCCTTTTCTCCTTGTCACCCTACTCGTTGACTCTGCAGTCCTGCTCCAGCTCAACTTTGAGCCTCAGAGTAGCATTTACAGCTCCCATCAGTAATCTGCAACTAGAGCTACTAAATTGGCCTAAAAACTTAGTTCCTGTCCAAAGGAGGTGGCTGGGTTTGGCTGGGTCCCAAGATTTCTGTCAGTAGGTAAAGATGTGGTCACAACATGGCCAAGAACTATATTTTGTGTGAAATCCAAGAAAAAGCTTCTGTTCTTCCTCACTCCCTGCCTCTGTTGTTGGAACCATTGTACTCCCAGGCTTGAAGCTTTGGGCTCTTCTCCTTATTCAGCTGCTTGCCCAGTCCCTGTCCTCAAAATACATTTGCTCTCATGTCCTGAAATGTGTGGCACCTACAGGTCTAAACCAGTCTTCGTAACCCATGCTTCTTTGCATTTTCCACCTCTGCCTTCAGATGAGATGTGGCCTGAGACACACAGATTGGGTACAGTAACTGGAATGACCACTGGAAAGTTTTGATCATTCCATGAAACCAAGAGATGAGTAGAGTAGGGTATTATGCTTCTCCCTGCATTCCAGTTCTACATGAGCTAAGTCCATTATGGGATCAAAGACATTGGGAGAGTGTGGCAAAGGGATTGATGGGGGCGGTCAAAATGTTGGAAGTATGTTATGTGCATGTACAAATCTGTATAACCAGTATGCAGTAATAAAAACATGTGAAACAAAGAAGAAACAGGCTTTCCTGGGGATGTCCACAGACTTCTCACTTCAACTCTACTTTTGTTGCTGTCTTTCTGTTTTTTGTTTTGAGATAGAGTCTCACTGTGTAGTTCAGGCTGTCTTCAAACTCATTTTGATCTTCCTGTCTCAGCCTCCCAAGTGGTGGGATTATAGGTATGCACCACCGCGCCTGGCTGTCACTAGATGATGGGCTGAGGACAAGGACTGTGAGGTTCACCTGATCGAGAGCAGAGGCAGACATAGACAACCAGAATGATCTTCACTGAGGAATCATTCAGAGACCCATGCTGCTGCATGTTTTCTTAGGCCTTAAAGAAGTCATTTAATTTGTCCCACAGCGGCCCCTCATCTGGGGCTAGGTGGAAGGCCATGTCTGGTATAGTTTCTGTATGGGGTGACTCAGCAGCCATTCTGTTTTACTTCAGGGAGTTTGGATTTTTTATGGTACTGGAGATCTAACCCAGGGCTCTGTGCACACTAGGCAAGTACTCTGCCACTGAGCTATACTTTCTGTTGTTTCTGAGAGTCTTGCTACATAGTTGAGGCTAGCTTTGCACTCACTATGTAGCCCAGGCTCCCTCAAATTCACGGTGATCCTCCTGCCTTAGTCTCCCATTTACAGGCATGCACCACCACACCAGGTTCACTAAGCTATACTTTTTAGGGGGAGGGAGGGTACCAGTAATCGAACTCCGGACGTTGCGCTTGCAAGGCAGGTGGCAGAACCGCTGAGCTAAATTCCTTCCTGGCTCTAAGCTATACTTTAAAATTTTTTTTGGTGGGGGGTACCAGGGATTGAACTCAGGTCCTTGTGCTTGCAAGGCAGGTGGCGGAACCACTGAGCTAAATCCCTGGCCCTACTTTAAATGTTTATTTGTTGCTTTCACTGGGTGACTAAAAATAGTTGTTCCTGCTTTAAATCTCTTGTTCATCCAGGTGAGCTCTTTTTGCGAACCAAGGCATTTTTGTGTATTATTTTGGGCATGCACCACCACACCCAGCTTTTGTGTATTTCACTGCTCCTGATACCATAATACTCTGCGGCCTCCCTGTTTTATAGATGAGGGAACTGAGACTTTTGTCAACACTTTGGCACAGGTCCTCATAACAGTGAAGCAGAAGTCATACAGCCCATCTTCCTGAGCTTACAGCTTCTGTCTCTCCGGGTCACCCCTGCCTGGTGGGAGAAGACAATGCAGACAATGAACTGTAGAACACACTGTGCTCTGATAGCTCAACAGTGTGGCAGGAGCTTTTAGTCTGCCAAGCTTACAGTTTGTTTCCTATCTGTCCTCCGTTGCTCCAGATTCTGCCTGATCAATGCAGGAGTCCTGTACCTCTATTTCAGCAATTACCTACAGATCGATGAGGAAGAGTACGGTGGCACGTGGGAACTCACAAAAGAAGGTTTTATGACATCTTTTGCGTTGTTTATGGTATGTGTACCTGGTAGTTCTACAGCAGATTCTGTTCCTTTCATGACATGGCATTCATTCAAGGAGAGCCCAGCGACTGAGTTAAGATAACATGGTTGATAGGGCCAGAGATTTAGCTCAGTGGTTCCACCACCTGCCTCACAAACGCAAGGACCTGAGTTTGATCCCCGGTACCATGGGGGAAAAAAAGATATGTGGTGGAGGTGTCATTTTTTCCGGGAGGCTCATGAGGTTGGAGTACATAGCTTCTCTTGAGCCGGCCTGTCCCAAAAGATGGGGTGTGGGTTAATTCAACAATGTATTAGCAGCCTGGGCCCCTGCATGATTCCTCAGAGGAGATCATTCTGGGTGTGTCTGCCACTGCACTTGATCAGGTGAACCTGACAGTCCTTGCCCTCAGCCCATCTGTTACACTAATAGACATAATACTGTATAGAGGGCTAATACACTCTGTTAACGTGCAATCCAGGGCCCATTGTTAGCTCCTTTATCTGATACCAAACCTGGGCCTGGCTACATTATTAGAAACTGGAAAACATTTAATATACTTATATTATTTGAAATAGATAAAACATACAAAAAACTCAAATAAGAGCCGGGAATTTAGCTCAGTGGTTCCACCGCCTGCCTCGTAAGCGCAAGGTGCTGAGTTCGATCTCTGGTACGAAAAAAAAAAAACTCAAATAGTAATCCCCTGATGTAAAATATTATTTAGCCATAATAAGGGTATAGGTTTTGTTTTGTTTTTTGGGTTTTTTGAGACAGGGTCTCACTGTATAGTTGAGACTGACCTGGAACTCACTATGTAGCCCAGGCTGGTCTCGAACTCATAGCGATCCTCCTGCCTCAGCCTCCCAAGTGCTGGGATTACAGGCGTGCACCACCAGGACCAGCTTAAGAGTGTAAATTTTGATACATGCTACAACCTTGAAAACATGCTAATTGGAAGAAACCAGACACAAAAAAACTATATATTAAAATCAGGCATAATGCTGTCATGTTAGCACTCTGGAAGGCTGAGGAAGGAGGATTGAAAGTTCAAGCAATTTAGGGAGAGCCTGTTTCAAAATAAACTTTTAAAGGAGCTGGGTATACAGCATAGTACTTAGGATCTAGGTTCAATCCCCAGTTCAATCCCTGTTGATGTGAAATGTTCTAAACTAGACATGTCTGTAGAGATTAGTGGTTGCCATTGGCTGAGGGAAGGGAGAAATAGGAAGTAAAAACTGATCATGGGAAAAGGCTTTCTTTTTGGAGTAATAATTTGGGATCAGTGGTTATATTGGCATAACTTTGTGAATAAACTAAAAATTTCTGGCCAGTTGTGGTAGTGCATGCCTGTAATCCCAGCATTTGAGAGGCTAAGGCAGGAGGATCACCATAAATTCATAGTTAACCTGGGGTACATATTCAATCTAGCCTAAACTACATAGTGAGCCCTTATCTCAGAACAAATAAAAAAATTCTGAATTACACTTTTTTTTTGCTACTGGGAATTGAACTTGGGACCTTAGCTTGTAAGGCAGGCGGCAGCTGAATTATACACTTTTAAAAAGTGCAAACTTTTAGCTGGGTATGGTGGTGCATTCACAAGGACCCGAGTTCAATCCCCAGTACCAAAAACAAAAAAGTTGCAAGCTTTATAGAATATGAATTATATTTCAGTTTTTCAAAAATTCTGAGCTGGACATGGTGCATGTCTGTGATCCCAACTGCTTGGGAGACTAGGGCAGATGGATGATGAGTTTGAGGCCAGCCTGCGCAGCGCACAGCAAGCCTGCCTCAACATAATGTGTGTCCACTCCGACCCCAAACCAATAAACACTGAAAAGTGGTACTGGGGCATCTTGTTTTTTGGTGAGCTTTTTTGTTTTAAAATTTTGAATTTTTTTGTTTTATAGACAGGATCTTGCTTTGGAGCTAAGGCTGGCCTTGAACTCACTGTGTAGCCCCGGCTGTCCTTAAACCTCCTGTCTCAGCCTCTCAAGTACTGGGATTACATGCCTGGCATTTACTTTACCATTGTGTGTATGTGCATGTGTGTATGAACCCAAGAAGCACTGAGCTACATCCTCAGTCCTTTTTTATTTTGCAGCTGACTCTTGCTAAATTACTTGGGCTGGCCTCAGACTTTCAGTCCTCTTGCCTGAGCCTCCCAGGGAGCTGGGATTACAGGTCGGGGCTGCCATGTCTGGCTGTCTGGTTTGGTCTGTTTGTTCTGAGATAAAGAGTCTCTCTGTGTAGCCCAGGCTGCCCTCAAACTTGCAGCAGCACAGCCTTACATCTCTTGATTCCACATCTATCCCCTCCATTCCCCGGGGCCAGGTGGTGAGGGGAGGAAGTTGTGAGGAGATTGCTTTGGGAGCATCGGTGGGCTGTCCCACACTGTTAGAGACAGCCTGCGATCAGTGAAGTAACTTAGGCTTCCCAGTGGCTTGTGTGTTGGGTGGCCCCTGGGGGGTAGTACCCTATGTGCACATCCTCGTTTTATGAAATTGGTAACCTGTAAGTATCGCTTGTCTTCCCCTCTAGGTCATTTGGATCATCTTTTACACTGCCATCCACTATGATTGATAGTGGACAGACAGCTCCCACCTGTTTCCTGTCCAGTCCAAAGGACCCTCTTAATTACAGCACAGAAAAATAATCACTGGGGCTCCCCGGCCACATGGAACCTGGAAGACCCATGTTTCCTGGACCAAGAATTAGAATGTTGGGCATCAGTGTGTTCTGCAAGGGCCGTGACCCAAAACTTTCTAAAAAACCATCCACTTTGAGGAAAGCATTTCTGAATTTACCCATCACCAACTGTTTCTTGGATACTACCATCTATAACAGCCTTTGCAAGTGGAGCTGTCATTTAATTTGATGCACTCTGGATCTGGGTGAAACATTAAATTGTCTTCCTCCGTTCTCTATCCCGTGTACAGTTTTAAGCTATCTGTGGCATTTCAAGTCTTCTGAAAACAGTGTGGCGATATGGGTGTGTCCATAGCACAGTACAAACAGCATCTAACAAGTTTCCATTGTAGAATGTTTTCAGATACTTGAATAAACTAATCTTTAATGAGAACCTGTTGGTGATACCTGATAAACCTTTCTCACTTCACAGCCTCAGAGGCGCATCGGAGGTTATAGCTCCTTTGCCTCTGTGCTCCCTTTGCCCCTCCAGCCAGGTCTGTTTCTCCAAGGTAGCAGAGAACTGGAGCTGTGCCTGGGTGCGTTGTGGGGAGAAGGCTCACTGCCTCCTATGCCCCTGCCCTGCGCACTGCACTCTGTGCTCACCTACAGTGTGTGAGGCTCAAACGGTGTCATTGTGAGCCAGGTGTGGTGATGCTCACCTAGAATCTTGGGAGGCTGAGAAGGGGAAGCCTGGGCTACATAGTGAGACCCTGTGGGTTGGGGGAGAGGGAAGAGGTGTCGTTTCATATTTGGCCACAAGATGGCTAGGTCAGAGAGATGGGGAGAATTTGGCTGGTTGTGAATAAGCTACAAAATGAAATGGAGATCTGAAAGCTGGGCTGTCCAGAGAAGGGGCTTGCAGGGTACATTTGAGGACCTGGATTGTTAGTGGTGCGGCTTGTTCTCAGGATCAGGAGAGGTCTGGAAAGTCAGGATCTGCTGTGATCAGCCACCAGCCCACATGCTTTTCTTCCCCTTCTGGGCCACAGCCTCGCTCTCTGAGGTGTGTTGGTATTCTGAGACCTGTCACTTTTCTAAAATGATTTATTTTTTTCCTTGATGTTAGTAGTGACCTACATTGTAGGTGGGGTTGGTTAATAGCGTGTAGAATGGGACTCACCAGGCAGGGGTCGAAGGTAGAGCTGGAATTCCTGCTATCAGGACCTGACAGACCCAGTGACAGTTTATTCTCTTCTGGGCCCCTGATCCTGCTCCCAGTTGTCCTGTCCTCCAGCTGAAGTTGCAGGCGGGGACATGGCCAGGGGAGGAGGTAAGTGACTTCATAGGACCAAGAAGACGGTCCGGGTGGAACCCTGGATGCACCTGTGTCGCAGGCCTCCCCTCTTGCATGCACAGCCTTTCTTCCAGAGTGCTCAGCTTGAGCAAAGTTGGGCTAGGTGCTACAGCTTTGTCTCCCCTTCCGACCTCTGCTTTTGACCTTGGCATCATCCGAGGAGACATCCTCGGTCAGGCTGATGTAGGAGCTGAGGGACTCCCGGAGCCCCTCGCTGAGAAGAGATGACTCTCCCGTGGTAGGTGCTTCGGAAAACAAGAGGGAGCTGTGGAGTGGGTCAGGGAGCAGTGAGGGAGGGAGACACCTGCCCGCACACAGCTCTTGCTCTCAAAACATCTCCATGTTACTCCAGACAAACTTGGGACCCCTGTTCCCTGTCACATCAAACCCCAGCCTGACCTCCCCACTCAGGTCTCCACCCTTTCCAACCTTCTGCCCGGCCTGTCTTGGGGTCCACACTTTATTTGCCCTCTTGAGTGTCGCCCCCTGCCCTGCCTGCTGAGCCCGGTGGGGCTCTGATCGGAGAGCTATGGCCCAAGTGTCCCTAAGTACTACAGGCCCATTTTGTGTTGTATGTTCCCGGAGGTGAGTCCTCTAATTCTCTGCTCTCTCATCTTTCTAGGGGTCCCCTCACCTGTCCAGTTCTTTCCAGTTGAGCGATGTCCTCTGCACAGTCACAGGTAGGGGTATGTCCTTGACAGGGTGTGGGCTGCACCTCTGTAGGGCACAGGGCTCCTTGAGGAGGCAGCATATGTCATCTGCCAGCTCTGAGGAAGAGAAATGGACCTTTGACGTTGCTGATAACAACCCTGCTTCTCCCCAGCATCCCTCCCTGGCAGCTTCCATACTTGGCAGGTGGAGGCATAGGGGCCCGGATATGGGCCCCAAGTTGTTCTCACGGAGGCTGAGATGCAGTCAAAGGTCATTCTGGGGTTAGTTTGGGGAGACTGCACTCACGAGGAGGCTGATGGACCTCTGTTCCCTCTGGTAGGAAAGTTCTTAGCGAAGAAAAGAAAGCTAAGGAATGCTGTGTCTGCTTGTAGCACTGCTGGCATCTACATGTGAAGCGACACGGACAGTTTCCTAAGAGTGGTCTCTCCTTCTGCCTCACGCTGCCCTGATGACCACGTTGAGCAGTGTCTATTACGGGACAGGCCCAGAGAATGCTAAGAGTCAGACTGGAGAGAACTCTGCCTGCTGCTGGGCACTCCAATTCAGAACCACTGGTGGATTCAGAACCACTGGCTGAGTCCAAGGCTGACCTGTATCTCCTCTGTCAGTGCGGGATGAAAACCAGGCGCCGTTTTGTCTCAGCACAGGGACTGGCATGAAGATAGGGTTGCTCTTGGGTGTGGATAATCCCAGCAGCTCAAGTGTCTAAGGGTGCACCTGCCCACGCCCTAGACCCCTCCCCTCATCTAGTCTTTCAGGGAGGCAGGAAAGGCCATACCAGAGTAATGGTCCACCAGGTCCTGGAGTGAGGGGAAGGTGAGGCGAGGGGAGATGTACAGCCAGCCATTATCGAGGCGCTGGATCCTGTAGTGTCTGATCTGGTCCCAAGATGCAGGGCGGCTGAGTCGGACTGACAGGGAGTAGCAGCCTGAGGAGAAAGGGATGCAGGAGAGGTTCTGAGGCCCTGCTAGGACCCCATTCAGGCAGGAGAAGGAAGAAGTGTGTTGGTGAGAGACAGGACAAAGACTTGCTGTCTTACTTATAAATGACATGTTCATAATATAGATAGGGTCTGTGAGGAAGAGGCGGACCTGGAGCACACCGCCCTCCACACAGGGCAACACCTGCCGTATGAAGACTGAGGCAGCAGAAATGGTAGAATGTGCAGATCTGTCAAATAGGTGTCAGTAAGGAAGTAGAGAAATAGAAACCCTTACCCTGCTGGCAGAAAGAAGAACTAACACAGCCACTATGGAAACAGTTTGTGATCTTCCTGCCTCAGCCTCCCAAATGGGATTACAAAGCATGTGCCCCTTTTTGTTTTTTGAGACAGGCTCTCACTGTGTAGTTCAGCCAAGCCTTGAACTCATGGTGATTCTCCTGTCTCAGCCTAACCTGAAGGCCTTACACATGCCCAGGCACATGTTCCACTACTAAGCTATATGCTTAGCTTCTAATGTAATTTCTAGGACCAGGAATTTTATAGCTCAGTGGTGTCACCACCTGTCTCACAAGCACAAGGACCCAATTTCGATCCCCAGTATCAAGAGAAAAAAAAAAAACTGGCTAAGGGCAGGGATATGTAGCTCAGTGGTAGAGCACTTGTCTAGCATGCCCAAGACCCTGGATTAAAAAACAACAGTCTGGGGATTTAGCTCAGTGGCACTATGTCTGCCTTGCAAGTGGAAGGTCCTGAGTTTGATCCCTGGTACTGGAAAAAAATAAAACACACAACAAATTGCCAAAAGGACAAAGCACATGATTGAAAATAAAGAAAAAAACATGTAAAATTGTATGATACATAGGCCTCCACTAGCAGATTTTTTTTTCCTTCAGAAAATTATGCTTATGAAAGCATTTTTAAATTTAAAAGTAGAATTCATTTCTTCTTTCCTGAGCTACGTCCCTAGCTGGAATTCATTTCTTAAGCCACCATGGGAAGAGGGTGTGAAGTGAAATAATAGTAACAAACTCTCAAACTAGATTTTTAAAACCAAAACCTAAGGATCTGATAAACACACTTCAAATATATATATATAAAAAAAATTTTTTTTTTGAGACAGGGTCTCACTATGTAGTTGAGATTGACCTGGAACTCACTGTGTAGCCCAGGCTGGTCTCGAACTCACAGCGGTCCTCCTGTTTCAACCTCCCGAGTGCTGGGATTACAAGCATGCACCACCATGCCCAGCTACACTTCAAATATTAAAACATAGGCTAAAAGTAAAAAGATGGAAAAAGATATATCATGCAATCACAGGAAAGTTGGAATAGCTATGTTAATGTCAAAGTAGAATTCAAGACCAAGAATGTTATCAGAGATAGTGATACACACTAGCACTTGGTTTTGTTTGTTTGTTTGTTTTTTGAGACAGGGGCTCACTGTGTAGTTGAGACTGACCTGGAACTCACTATGTAGCCTAGGCTGGTCTCGAACTCACAGCGATCCTCCTGCCTCAGCCTCCCGAGTGCTGGGATTATAGGTGTGCGCCACCATACCCAGCTAACACACTAGCACTTGGGAAGCTGAGGCAGGAGGATTATCACGATTATCACGAGCGGGCGACCAGCCTCGGCTCCATAATGAGTTCAAGGCTAGCCTGAATTGCATAGTAAGACCCTGTGTCAAAAAAAAGAAAATATATTATCAGAGATAAGACAGAAAAATTTTAAATTTGTATGCACCCAATTACAGAGATTTAAAATATAGGTAGGAAGATAGGTGTGGTGATGCACACCTGTAATCTCAGCACTTGCAGGCTGAGGCAGGAGGATCACCATGAGTTGGAGGCCAGTCTGGGCTACATAGTGAGTTCAAGGCCAGCCTAAATTAGAGTGAGATCCTTCTCAGAAAAACCAAACAACTTTATTTATATGCACAAGGCCATAGGTTCGATATGTGACAAAAAAAATTGTGGGTTGGGCTGGGGATTTAGCTCATTGGTTCTGGTGCGTGCATCACAAGTGCAAGGGCCAGAGTTCGATTCATTCCCACTACCAAAAAAAAAAAAAGTGGGTTGTCTGAATCAGTGCTTAGGGGTACTTTTTTAGCTTTAAATGCTTATATTAGAGAGGAGGTATAAAATGATTTAAGCTTCCACTTAGGAAGGAAATTAAAGCCAGGCTTGGTGATGCACACCTGTAATCCCAGCACTCGGGAGGCTGAGGCAGGAGGATCGCTGTGAGTTGAGACCAGCCTGGGCTACATAGTGAGTTCCAGGTCAGACTAAACTACATAGTGAGCCCCTATCTAAAATAAATAAATAAATAAATAACAAAAAAAGGAAATGGGGGAGGGGGGAGGAAATAAAAGCTGGACATGGTGGTACACACTTGTAATTCCAGCACTTGGGAGGGTTGAGTTCGAGGCCAGGCTGGGCTACATAGTGAGTTCAAGACCAGCCTGAACTACATAGCAAGACCTTGTCTCAAAAATAAAACAGGGCTGGGGATTTAGGTCAGTGGCACAGCACCTGCCTCCTGAGTGCAAGATCTTGAGTTCAATCCCCAGTACTGCCAAAAAAAAAAAGTAAAATGAATAAACAAACAAGGAAATAAAGTAGAAATAAATGATACAGGAAAAAGAAAAGAACAGAACCAAATGTCAATTCTGTTTTTGTTTTGTTTTTGAGACAGAGTCTTGCCGTGTAGTTCAGGCTGGCCTCAAACTCAGTGATCCTCCTGCCTCAGCCTCCTGAGTGCTGGGATTGCAGGCATACACAGTCATGCCTGGCCAAATGTCAACTCTTTGTAAAGATCAGTAACAAATTAGGCACACCTATAATCCCAACAGCCTAGGACATTTTAGCCCAGTCTGGACAATTTAGTAACTTAGTGAGACCCTAGGACCTTTCCTCTTTTCCTTTTTCTAAAAAAACAAAAAACGAAATAAATAAAAAACTGGAGGGCCAAGGATTTAGCTCAGTGGTTCTGCTGCCAGCCTTGCAAGTGCCAGGTCCCGAGTTTGATCCCTGGTACTAAAAAAACAAAAACAAAAAACTGGAGATGTACCTCAGTGTAAAAGTGTGGTTGAAGTGGGGGGGGGGACGAGAAAAACATTTAAGAAATCTGTGACCTAATATCACTCACAAAGGTCCTTAACAAGCTGGACATGGAGTGCACATGCCTGTAATCCCAGCTACTTGGTTTGTTGGTTTTTGTTTTGTTTTTTCGGTACCGGGGATGGAACTCAGGATCTTGCACTTGTGAGGCAGGTGGCGGCACCTGCAGGGGGAGCCCTTTCCTTCCAACTCCTATAGCTTTTTGTTTGTTTGTTTGTTTTTGGTTTTTGGTTTTTGGTTTTTTGGCTTTTTTGGTTGAGACAGGGTCTCACTACGTAGTTGAGACTGACCTGGAACTCACTATGTAGCCCAGGCTTGTCTCAATTCACAGTGATCCTCCTGCCTCAGCCTCCCGAGTGCTGGGATTACAGGCATGTGCCACCACGCCTGGTGATTCCTATAGCTTCTTAAAAAGGTTTCTTCTGTAGCTATAGTAAGTCCCCTCTCCCCAGTACTAGGACTTGAACTCAGGGCTTCACACGTTAAACAAGTGCTTGACCACTGAGTACTTAAATTTATTGCTTAAAGCAAATCAGAGAGCTAGGCATGGTACCTGGAATGTACAAAGTCCCAGGTTCAGTTCCCAGCACAGGATGAAAGTGTTAAAGTTCCTTAACTGTTTGCAAACACTTTTTCAATGTAAGGTAATACATTCACATGTTCTGGGGATTAGGGCCTGGACATTTTGGGGGAAGCTCTTATTCTGCCTACCACAGAAAGGTGCTTCTTCTTGACCTGATACAGGGCTTCCATGAAAAGTGTATATCAGGGCTGGGGATTTAGCTCAGTGGTTCCGCCACCTGCCTGGCAAGCACAAGGACTTGAGTTCGATCCCTGGTACCAAAAAATATATATATCATACTTAATGGGAAAGACGGAATTTTTTCCTTTTAAGAATGAGAACAAGGGCCAGGGATTTAGCTCAGTGGTTCTGCCACCTGCCTCGCAAGCACAAAGACCTGAGTTCGATCCCCAGTACAAAACAAAAAACCAAAAAAAACAAGTTAGGTGTGATGGCACGCCTGTAATCCCAGCACTCAGGAGGTTGAGGCAGGAGGATAACAAGTTTGAAGCCAGCCAGGACTACATAGTTATGTTCAAAGCCAGCCTGAACTGCACAGCAAGACCCTGTCTCAAAAATAAAAAAAGAATGGAAACAAAGCAGTAATGTTCTTACCACTTCTCAGTATTCTATTAGTAAGTGCAATAAGAAAAAATAAAAGGTATATGGATTAGAAAATAATCAGTAAAACTGTCGATTTACAAGTAAGATAATCATACTAAAAAAAATCATACTTTTTTTTCTGGTACCAGGAATCGAACTCAGGGCCTTCTGCTTGCCAGCCAGGCACAGCACCACTGAGCTAAATCCCCGGCCCACTGCACTTTGAGAAGAGTAGAGTACTAATCTGCTTTTTTTGTTTGTTCTATTTGCCTGACTCAAGTGCTCCGTGCCTTTAGGAAGAGTCTCTGTTGCCGTTCATGGTGACGCATGCCAGCACTCCTGAGGCAGGAGGATGGCTGTGAGTTCCAGGGCAGTCTCAGCTACATAGTGAGACCCTGTCTCAAAAAGAAGAGTCTCTCTTTAACCATGTTAACAGCTTACCCCACTCGGGCAGGGCTTGTTTCCCTACCAGCCACATCCTGAGCATCACTTAGTTGATTCTTGTATTGAATAAATTTGATAAAATTGTTGTTTTAATTTTTCCTGTTATATCTTATAAAAATTAATTTTAAAAATCTCATTTTTGGTCATTGAACTAGTAAGGGGTTAAGTTGTACTGTGACCCTGAAAAAGCCCTGTGGTTGAGAAAGGGCTGAAGATCTGAAATGGCCCCGGAAGGCTAACTAACCCAGCTGAACTTTC